AGGTCTCAGGAAGGCTGAGGGCAGTGAGAAGGGCAGGAGTCAGGACAGCAGAGGAGGGTGAGGGGTTGGGGGGCAGCAGGCACCAGGGGAGTTGATGGAGCAAGGGGAGGAGACATGGCAGCAGAGGGGAAAGGTAGATATTTATTAATAACTTGGGTGCCACAATGGCACATCCAAACAAGCCACATGAATTCAGTACTGGTGCACAACACAAAATTAATTCTACTCATGGGAGGAAACTCTTAGAGGGAATACTCCCCCCCCCCCACCCAGACTCTCCACCCCCGCATTAATGTCACACACATTGGATTAATGCAATTGCAGGATAGTTGCATGGGGGGGCAAACTAATCCCTATTGGTAGGAGGATGGTGGGAAAAGTCCTTGGGTCGGGGGTCACATTTTTACTTTTGATCGTGTGCCCATCTTGCCTAGAGAGGGTTACCTCCAGGGGCGTGGCTAATGGGGGTCAGGAGCGTGGTTAACAGGGGTCAGGAGTGTGGCTAATGGGGGGGGGGGGTCAAAGGGCATTTTAAAAAAATTCTTTGGGGGCACACCCTAATGAAATGTGCTGCACATGCCTATGGTGACTACATGGTAAGCCACATCATCCCAGCAGAGGGGCCTTGAACCTAGGTGACATTACATAACTGTTCAGCTCTTCCAGAATGGGATGTTCCCTGTGAGGGTTAACTGTCAGCCCAATTCCAAGTCAAATGTGAGCTGGTCTTTTGTATGTCCTTTGATTTCAGTGGGCTGCCAGGGCAAAAGTGAAGGCAGACATTGACCCTTGTTTGCCAATGGGCTAAACTGGTTTTACAAACATGACCTGAGGCCACTTTCAAAGCTGGCAAGAGGCTTTACAAACTTGTGTTAAAGAGTTTGTTTTTGTGGGACACAAAGGGCGCTAGCTGGGAACCCGGACTCTCATTGGCTACTAGCCCTTTGTCAAATGTTTCTCCAGGTGTACTGAGGTGAATGGTGCCTCAGGACAGCTTAAATCTTTCCACCACAGGCTGAACTATACAGGTCACAAATCTTCCACCAACCTATAGAACAGAATGTTTTAAAAACAATCCTTCAGCACTGTCATTACTGCAATGGGAAAGCATCCTTAAGAGTTTTTTTTTAATCCACAGATCATTGATACACTAGATGGCATTGCTAAGATCTCTCTGAACCATGTACTTGCTCTCTCTGCTGATTACTGACCTGCTGCTAGTTAGCTCATCTGAGTATGTACTTTGCATTATATATAGGCTATGGGGGTTGGGACATCACATTTATCACTTTTTAAAATTGATATTTATAAATTTAAATTTTTAAAATTGCATAAAATGTCTCCCGTTGTCTTCTGATTTCTCAGCTGCTATTAATTAACGTCTGGGCTGCCTTGTCTTGCCATTTATAGTCGTTCATTTCCATGTGTCCAAGGGAAATAAAAATACAGCTATTTCCTGTGACCTTGCTGGTTTGTCTGGTGGAAATAAAGGCCCAGCTGCTCAGGGAATGCCTTAGGATTCTCTCCCACCATGTTAAAGACTCAATGCAGCTCAGTGGTCAGACTACGTGCTCAGCCCTGGCTCACACACCTAGCCCTTTTGCAGTCATCTGCACATCATACCGGTTCTGGGGACTCTTTGTTAGCTTCACCCACTCTCACACCTGTTCCGCTTTCTGGATGTGGGAACCCATTAGTGGAGCATCTTTCCAGTCACTTTCCGTGATGCCACTTCCTCCTTCTTCATAACCCTCTAGATAAATTTCTTTTTTACAGGAAGTAGGTTACTACAGGTACCTCGCTAGCAACTCTGGAGCTGAGTAACCCAATGGTTTTATTATTGTAACCCTTGCCCTAATTTGCCCCTTCTCTTTTGTTTGCCATGTCCTTCAGCTGCTGTGTGCTAGGAATCCTGTAAGGACCCAGGCAAGGTCTTTATCTTTTAGGAATGCTTTAAAGTGGCTATTTCATGCTGAAGTGCTCTAAAATAATGACTAATAATAATTGTAGGCTACAGCACTAGAGTCACCATCCTTCTGCAAAAACCAAATGAAAAATATGCATGGGGGTGTATGTATAAAAACAGTAATAATAAACTGCAAGACCTGTTGTGAGGCTTAATTCATGTTTGCAAAATGCTTTGAAGGTGTTGGATGGAATACAGTTGATATGCATACAATATTACTATTAATGTAAAGCTAACTTTGATTAATGGTTTTAATATCACTCTGTTGCCCCATTTCTGTAGCTACTTGAACCATCCTTTTTCCCTATTCCCAAGATATTATTGAAACAAGAACTTCCTGGTTAAATATTTTAAATTAATAAATTATATTTTAAAGTACATTAAAATACCTTCACGTTTTTCACAGAAATAAGCACAAATAAGTATCCTGGAAAAATTCCAACTTAAGAAATTCACTTTTGCTGCCTAAATACATGCCCTTACAATGTCACCTGAATACAGTTGTTCTCAAGGTATCACTTAGTATCAGGTTAGAGAATTTTGGAGGGAAAAAAGGCAAAAATGCCCCTTTTTCTTCATCAAAACTATTCACCAATTGTCCACACTTTCCAAATTTTAATTTTTCGTGATTTGCTATTAACCAAGTTCTAGCAACATTTTTGTCATTTTCAGGATACTTTTTTCCATTTTACAGGGTTCAGTCATGCTCAGTGTGCTGCTGTACTAGGTGCTGTACAAACACTGGACACTAAAGACAGTCTTTATGCTGATTTTATAATCAAATCGTCCTGTCCTACATGGTTTTGGTGCATGATGCACCTATGTGGTGTTAAAAAGCTGCCATGTACCACCCCTGAAAAGGCTGCATTGCAAGTGATGGGTGAATCTGCTTCTAAACGTATAATATGGTGTTTGCTTCTTCTGCATGAAATGACATATACAATGTAAGACACTTGTTTCTGTGGCTTTGTTTCGACAGCACTAAGCAGTCTGATGGTGCTCAAAACATCATTGTTTATTGCTTCACTCTGCTCAGCACGGTGTAGAAGACGGGAATACTCATTCAAAATATTGCTAAAAATAGAAGGGGTTAAATTTAATCAATTAGTTGGCTAAGTTTTGTGATACTTAAATAACCAGTTGTTCATATGTTTTTCATTGGCTGCTTGTTTTAAGGGTGAATATTTGCAACGATATACCAGTGTAGCTATTTTGTTTCAAGTACAATGTATTCCATTATCCATCTAGTTAAAAGCATCATTATCTAGATGGTGAGCTCTTTTGGGGCTAGGGACTGTCTTCTACATATGAAGACAGCACCTATCACATTATGGGTATTCCCAAAATAGAAATAATAAATCATGATAATATTAGGTGTTCACTGCTGGCATTTCTAGATGGTTGAGCCTTGCACAATGTGCCATCCCATTTTACCAAGTTGATATGTTTGCTAATTTCCTTTGTCTTCAGCTAAACTATGGCGCTTTGTTGTGTTAATTTTTTGGCCGGTAGCTTCTTTTCTAATCAATATGGTAGAGTAAGGCAGAAGGAAGTTGCTCTCCTATCCTGCGGATTACAGTAGCTGCTGATGCCAATGATGAGTCAGAGTGTTTGGTGCTGATGTTGCTGCCATTTCATCAGCTCTGTGATCCCCAGCATCCCTTATTCACCAGCTCTCCATCTTTACAACCCTGGGCATCTCTGCGACTAAAGTCCATGCTGCAGGAAGGGCAGCACTTCTGTCTGCAGGGAAAGGAAATCTCTTCTCCGGAGCTAGCCAGGTGCCCTTGAGGACTAACCCCTCTCTGCTTGGAGACAGAATAACGGAACCTAGGAAGCCTTCTAGCATTGGGTTGTTGCTGTTGTTTTCAGTCAAAATCGGATCCCCTGAGCCTGGAGGCTTAGATCTTCGCGAGGTGGGTTCTGTTTTGGTGAGGGGGGCGGATCAGAGCGCTTTCTTGGAACCCTTCGTTGCTGACCTGGACGTAGGCGGCGGAGTTTTAGCTCTAGATCTTTGTACTGACACAACGTGAAAAAGGCTGGAGCCCTCGAAGGGGAGCCGGCCCTGCCAGCCAACCCCGCGCCTGCTTTTGTAAACAGCCGGCCATCGCTAAGCTCGTTCCCATGACAGACAAAAGCCTTCCCCCGCCATTGCAAAAGGAAATACGGATCAGTGGCCAAAAAACGCCCGTCGCATCCTGATCACAACGCAAAACAACCAGCGGGCGCAGAGAGAAATCTGGGCTGGTGCGGGGCCACATGGAGCCCATCTGACCTTTGCATTGCCGGCAGAGGCAGCTTGCGGCTGTGGGGCAGAAGCGGGGGCAGCGAGACCCCCGCGAAGCTTTCCCTGGAGCCAGAGGACATGACCCAGTGGCCAAAAAACGCCCGTCGCATCCTGATCACAACGCAAAACAACCAGCGGGCGCAGAGAGAAATCTGGGCTGGTGCGGGGCCACATGGAGCCCATCTGACCTTTGCATTGCCGGCAGAGGCAGCTTGCGGCTGTGGGGCAGAAGCGGGGGCAGCGAGACCCCCGCGAAGCTTTCCCTGGAGCCAGAGGACATGACCCGGGAGGCGAAGGTAGATGCCAGGCGCCCTGAAGGCTCCTCCGCCCGCC